GGGGGGGGGGCTTAGCAGTTACTGAACTGCAGAAGTGAATTGAGTTTCCTTCCTGTACGACTTCCTGCCTCCTTTCTGGGGATGCTCACCAAGTACTTGGCCACTTCAAGTTTCTTCAAATGAGCAATCTTGAGAACTAGACTTCCAAATCACACATTGGACTAGAGCCCAGAGATGTAAACTGAGACTTGAGGACCAGGATTTTAATTCCACCCCACCACAATGCCAGAATGCATCCATGGATCCCCACAAAAAAAGCAGACTGATGGAAGCAATCCTGGAACATACTCCTTGCTCTCTTACAGTGGTAGTGTGCAACACCAGCTAGGAAACTCTGCGAAGGAAGGTGATGGAAAAGAAAAGTCTTCTACCTCTGAAAAGACTGGAAAACGGTGCATCTTTCCCAAGTGCTCTGTAAATCTAAAACTCCCCATTCTTTCCGATCAACCCTCTCTCTTGCCAAGGGTTTCTAAGAGGAGATTTATTTGGAACGCCTTGATGCATGTCATAAATCCTCAGGATATATAAAATTATCAACAGGACGCCTTCTTATCAGCAAATGTTTACATCCATCGTACCCAGAAAAGGAACACAATGGCTACCAGTAGGAATGCATATGGTAGCCACTTTTTCTCTGCATACATAGTGCACACATGTATAGGCAAAACACTCATACACATAAAATAGCAATAAATAAATATATTCTTATATGTTATTTTAAGTAATATTTTTAAAGAAACAAGCTCTTGGTGCACACAGTTTTCAGGGAACTATGTTAGGTGACAAAAACCAGTCTGGTCTCATATTCAGGATTCCACAGATATAGCATTTTTAAAATTCAAAAGTATTTTAAATTAATAAATTTTATTTAAATATTTTGATCATGTTCTTCACTTTCCCCTACTTCTGCCAGGTCCTCCTTCCTTTCCTACCCACCCAACCTGTTCTCTTCCTCTTCCTCTTTCTTTCTCACTCTCAAATTAAAAAACAAAAGATGAAAATAAAAACCAAGAAGAAACCTAATAAGCAAGTAATTATCCAAACAAAACAAAATACACACACACACACACACAC